TTCTGACCACAGATCTAGATTTTTCTTTGCACGAGATCCAGAGCAGAGAGGTGTGAGGCATCCACACTAGGTCCTAAGCTTGGGTGATAATGCAAGGTGTGAGTTCTAGAGGAATCATCCTAGTGGTCCCAGAGGAAGTGCCTGGAAACCTGGGGGAACCCCCTCTTCTCCCCACACCTGCTTCTGAGCTCACTAGCTTCATAAAGGGCTTTGCCTGAGCCGTGACACCAGACACTAGGATGACATCCAAGCGAGCTTCCCAAAGAGTCTGCTCAGCCTGCTGGGGGGACAGTGAGAGTTCTGGGTTGTCTCCCCGGGGAGACACCTGGCCCATCTTTCCCCTTTAGGACGTGGACTGCGCCTATCTGAGAAAGTCAGACCTGGAAGCCAACGCGGAGGCCCTGACCCAGGAGATCGACTTCCTGAGACGACTGTATGAGGAGGTGAGGGGCTCAGAGCAGGGGGCAGCAAGAAGGGTGTTAGGCTTGGGAAGGACTCATCACCATTTTGACTTCCAAGCCCTAAGGCAGCAGGTCAGAAGCACAGAGTAGTTGAGAGACTGAGGCAGGTTGCCTATCAAGAGTGAAGAAGGAGAGTTTGACCTCTTGTATCCTGTGCCCTGACAAGTAGTTACTTCCTGGTTACTGTGTTAACAATCATTACAGGACATCAGCTCTGGTCCTAGACCCTGTCTGATATCAGGCAGTTGATCTCAGACCTGGACTCCCTCTACCTTCTCCTCTCAGCCCCAGGACTCTGGGCCTGAGGGGTGTTGTGGGGTCCCGGGGTTCAGGGAAAGACTATGACTGGGACTTCACACAGGGAAGGAAGCAGGGGAAGGGTCAGGGAAGGACTGTGAAAAGGTGAGATTCCAAGAGTCGGACTCTGAACATAGTTCTTGCCCTCCCCTCCTCCTGCAGGAGATCCGCGTTCTCAACTCCCACATCTCAGACACCTCCGTTGTCGTCAAGATGGACAACAGCCGTGACCTGAACATGGACTGTGTCGTGGCTGAGATTAAGGCTCAGTATGATGACATCGCCAATCGTAGTAGGGCTGAGGCTGAGTCCTGGTACCGCACCAAGGTGAGAGGCCCTGGACACCTGCCTTCTGCGCATGGCAGTGGGAGGGGTGTGAGGTATCGTTTAGAAAGGCCTTCTTTTATTCTAAGCATGACAAGAGAAGGGCTGACAGCTCTCAGGTTGAGATGGCAGAGCAGGGCTGCCATGTCTGGTTGTACAAGTTGAGCACTATACCACCTACATAGACATCAATGATGTCTTAAGTGGGTGGGATGTCCCATGCTGAGCTTCATGAGCATCTCTGCCTCCCCCCAGTGTGAGGAGATGAAGGCCACAGTGATCCGGCATGGGGAGACCCTGCGCCGCACTAGAGAAGAGATCAACGAGCTGAACCGCATCATCCAGAGGTTGACAGCCGAGGTGGAGAATGCCAAGTGCCAGGTACAGGAGCCCAGGTCCCCCTCAGTGTGGGAAGAGTGGGGTCAGCCTGCATAGAGGAATTTCAATCAGACATCTTGCCACTTTGTGAGAATAGAAGTGAACATCAAACATCAGGCCGTCTTCTTCATGAAAAATGCTCTACATTCTCACTGAATGGAAAAGGCACAGTAGTGTGGAGGGAAAGGAGGTGACAAGGGCTTCCCTAGACCCAGTCACAGAATAGAATAGAGGAAATGGCACTGGTCAGAGATGCAGAAAACCTGGGCTCCCCAACCAGCCCTTTCACCACGTGAGGTGGGAGAGTCATTTGCCCTCTCTGGTCCATGTTCTAGATCAGTGATCACACCCTCAGATGTCGTCAGACACTAGTGAATGGTTGAAGCAGGCTGTACCCAAGGCCCTGGATATGGTGGTATGGCAGGGACTGTGGCTCATGGAAAACACAAAGAGCAAAACTAACCAGATCTCCCCAAAAGACAGGCTACACAGAACTGCAGGCCTAGTGTGATCAGATCTCCTGATTTTTCAAAAGAAACCCGGAATCTGGATTGTTATGTTAAATTTCCAAAATTGAGGCCCACTGTGCCTATGTTCCCCGGGGAGCATGAATTTGCAATTCTTAACAAATGAATAGGCTCGTTTGAGAGTCATCCATCAGTGGATGCCTGGCCTCTGATTTAAACCCAGATCAGGGGGCCTGAATAACTCTCTCCCCTGCCCCCAGAACACCAAGTTGGAGACCGCAGTGACCCAGTCTGAGCAGCAGGGCGAGGCGGCCCTGAGCGATGCCCGCTGCAAGCTGGCTGAACTGGAGGGCGCCCTGCAGAAGGCCAAGCAGGACATGGCCTGCCTGCTCAAGGAGTACCAGGAGGTGATGAACTCCAAGCTGGGCCTGGACATCGAGATCGCCACCTACAGGCGTCTGCTGGAGGGCGAGGAGCAGAGGTGGGTCCCACACCTATGGAGAGGGTGCCTCTTCAATGTCCCCAAGTAGGGCTGCTGCACTTCAAGAGTCAGGAGCGCGTTGGCATATTATTTGCATCTAATTTGCATCAACACTTCTTAAAGGAGGGAATTTGTAGGTTAAAACATTTCAGCAGCTTTTTCTTTCCTAATTTTTGTCTCTTTGCTTTCCCCAGGTTGTGTGAGGGCATCGGTTCTGTAAATGTCTGTAAGTAAGCCACACTGTAGGTTTGGAAATAAGGGCTTGGAGTTTCGGGTGGGCAAACTTTTTCTTAAGGGGTCAGATAGTAAATATGTCAGCCTTGCAGGCGGTGTGGTCTTTGGTAATATGAAAGCAGCCACAGTCATAGCCGATGCTAAACAGGAATGGCTGGGTTCCAACAAAAGGGAAGTCACCACATAGCCATGGTTTAAGAGACTAAAAAGAAGGAGAGGGTAGGGCAGTGTGGTTATGGTCATTTAAGTAGCTATTTCTGCCTGTGGGGAGTTCCTGGGCCAACAGTGTATCAGGGATGCTTGAGATTAGACTCCAGGGAGTGCCCAGGTGATGGTGTGGGAGAAAGCACTAGAAACCTCCAGGAGGAGCCCTAGCTAGGAAAGGGGTTCTGGCCAGCAGGAGGGGGCCCCCAGGCCAGGACCTCGCTTGGGGCTAAGCATTGGCCTCCTCCCACAGGTGTCAGCAGCTCCCGGGGCGGAGTCGTGTGCGGGGACCTCTACGTGACGGGCTCCCGGCCAGTGACGGGCAGCGTCTGCAACGCCCAGTGCAGTGGGAACCTGGCGGTGAGCACCGGAATGTGCGCGCCCTGCGGCCAGAGCTGTGGCAGCGGCCGCTCGGTGCGCTTCGCCTAACGCCCCGGCTGTGTGAAGACCCCGCTCCGCGAGCCCACAGTCCCTGCGCCCCGCCGCGGTCCCGGAGCTCCGAAGGCTCCGGACTTGAGGAGGAAGAAGGGCTGCGGGCACAGCGGCCTGGCCTGCCCACTCTGCCGCGCGCCCCGGTCTGCACCCCCTTCCGCACTTGTCCCTTGGCGTCTTCCAGGAAGAGCCGGGCTCCTGGCCCGCAGGTCTGGCCCCGCTGGCCCACCCCCAGGAGTCTAAATGACCGATTTCCTTGTCGCCTTGGGCAAAGATCCGATCCCAATTTGGGCTGCTCTGGGCGCTTGGACGCCTGTGGCTTCTCACAGATTGGCCCCAGGAACCTTCCTGCGCTTTGCCTCCTCCTCTTTCCAAGCCCAGCTATGGTGACAGGCTGCGTTTCCGCTTGGGAGGGACCAAGATTCTATCAACGCCTCTGCTCCCTCCCTTCCCTCATGCTTGGTCTCCACGTTTCCAATAAAGCTCACAGTCATGTATAATGTGCTCTGATACTGTCCCCTCCCGTGGCCCACCAGGCCTTTCTGCCCAAGTCTCATTCCTGGGGAGGCAGAAGAGCCTTTTACACCATGGAGGCAAAGAACTGTCTCTGGGTATCCTGCGCCCAGCCTGCACACACTGGGTCAGTAGCCCTCAAACCCAGACATGTAGGACCATGAGGAGCTCTAGCCAGGAGGGGAGGAGCTTGGATCTCCTATCACCTTAGGCAGGGGACTTGTTACCTATAGTTGCTGGGACACCAGTGGTCTGCTTCCATCATGCCTACTCTCTCCCCCCCAGTTCAACATGGGAAAATTCCCTGTCTATGGGATCAAATATGCAGATATCCCCACAGCAACCAACATATCCCAGATGCTCCTCTCACTTTCCACCACACACCCACATACCACTACCATCACCCCTCAGGGTCCCAGACATGGAGATCTCCTACTGCCTCCCTAGTATCCCTCAGATGTGCTGCTGCCCATCGGGAACAGATGTCCCCACACATAGGTTCTGAAACAAAACCCTCAACACTCACAGACACACAGGCCCCCATGTCAGAGGTCCTGCCATTTGGAGGCTCCCTTCAAGCCCAGGTGTGATACACAGAGTTCCCCTCCCCTCTCCTCCCACCTTAGAGACCAGACACCTCTGCCCAAGGACCCAGGCACAGATCCCTACCAGGGACTGACGCTGACACCCCACTCCCATGTACACACAGACCTCGTCCATCACCCCCAAGCACCCCAGACACAGAACATCCAGACACAGCATCCAGGGCCCTAGGGCCTGGCTGACCCAGCACCAGGAAGGCTGTGGGCAGCTGGCATGAAAGTTGGCTGGCCTACCCGAAACCCCGGCCTGGGGCAGTTGAATGTTTATGTCCTTCTCACTAGAAGAGGAATATGCTCTGGCAGCAGAGGGCATGGGGGAGGAGTGTAAACAGTCCTGTCATCCTCTGGACTAGGGAGGACTCCACGCCCACTTGGGGCCTGAAGTTCTTTATGGTCTTCCCCAGTTTCCTGAGCTAGAATCAGGCCCAGCCCTGGGAGGAAACCAAGGCATCACCCTCAATAAGAGTCCAGTCCCTTAGAACAGCACCCCCACACCACCATGGTCATCCAGACACTGTCCTGCCTAGTCCCCGTCCCGACTCCCCATCCCGGCTTCCATGCCCAGTCTAATGAAATCCCGACATCAGGCATGGGCATGGGGCTCACCCAGGGCTCAGAAATTCTTTTTATTGAAGCTACTCTGACATTAGTTTTCAGACTATGTTTCAATCTCAGGACCAGGGGTGGGAGGCCAGAGTCCTCCTATGACTGTGGGCAGGGGGATGTGTGTGTCTGTGCCCACGGCTTAGTTGTGGAGGTTCCTTCGGGTGGCAGATGAGGTCCTGATGGAATAGGCCTTGAGGGCTCCAGGTCCCCCGCTGCTCGAGAAGCTCAGGGCGTTGCTGCCCATGGTTCCTCCGAAGACCAGCCCTCTGCCACTGCCACCAGTAGAACTCACCACAGCTGGGAGAGAGAAAGGAGGGCGCCATTGGTAAAGCCCTCCACAAGGACTCCATCCCTTCACCCCAGCCCCACCCTCCAGCTCAGCTGCCTCCCTCCCTTACCGCTCCACTGGACAACCCAAAGGGAGTCTCTAACCAGGGGCTGCACCCCAGGGGTTCACTGCCCTCCCCTCCCCCACTCCGCCCCTCTGTCTCCCCCTGACCTCTCACACTGAGGCCACTGAGCTGGATAGGAGCTGCAGGGAACCTGCCAGGGTAGAAGGAAAGGAGGTTCCCAGCCCCACAAGCAGGGCCCGCAGGACAAACTGGCATTCTAGTGACCCAGCAAGTCTGCACAGAACAGAGTGGTGGCCGGAGACTTACAGATGTTCACAGCTCCTGCTCCATCTCCAACCAACCTGGGGACAGAGGACAAACCATGAGAACAGCTCTGCTCTCAACACTGGAGGAGCACTCCCAGGCACCCCCTCCAGGCCCCAGCAGGATCCTTGTTCTTTTCTTCCTGTCCCCACACCTCCAGCTGGCCTCCCACACTGGTGCAAACTGGGTGGAGGGGTGGGAGAGGTTCACATGCCACATGCTCAGGGGCAAAGTCGAACAGCCTCTTGTTGCCCACTTATAAATTGGGTCTAACATAGGACCAAGATCAGAGATTTGTTGGTGAAGGTTAAGTTACAGAAGTTATCTAAAGCCCTGCACACCCAGGATTTGGTAAATGGTAGCCTCACTTATTATATATGTACATGTTTGCCTTCCCTCACCAGATCATAAAGTCCTAAAAGTGGGTTGTTGCCTATTGATTCCGGTGTCTCAGCCCCTAGCACGAGGCCGGAACACAGTAATTACTTACTATGTGTTGAAATAATTAGTGAATTGTTGACTGATTGAATGCAGCTCCAGCCAGGACCTAGGAAGGCGGCAGGGTAGGTGGGGTGGCTTTAAGCAGCCTGTGGGGCTGAAACAGGTCTTGCAGTGGAAATTAAAAATCCATCTGAGACAGCTGGGTGTGTTTGTTTTGTGACTCACAGTCCCATTGTCACCAAGCCGTTGGCCTTGGGGATCAGTTTGCTCTGCAGGAGGGAGGGGCACCTTGCTTTAGTAGAGGAAGTGAGGGGAGCTCAGCAGGTCTCAGCAGCCTCAAGCCCAAGAAGGAGACAAGGGATGTGTTTTCTGGAAGCTTCCAGGATGGTTGTTCATATAGCCCCTGCAAGTGCTTGGAGTTGCCAGAAGCAGAGAACATGGTGAGTTGCCTGCCACCAAGCAACAATCCTGTATTAAGAATTTCTGGTACAACACCTAGAGGGCTCAGAGGGAAGAGAGCTGCATGTCCAAGCCTTAGTGATTTGGGTGATTTTCTTTTCTCATTCTAAGTATTTTTGTGCCTAATTTTATATTTGTGACTTTGTGTTCTCAAAGAAGCACCCCCCCCCAAATTGTAAGAGTTTAGGGATCATGACCCTGGATCTTCCCCAGAAAGGCTGACAGGCTAAGAGATAAAAGGAAGGTGTCCATCTCCACGTGCCCCAAGGATAGGGAAGGCCAGTCTCCTCTCCAAGCACCAAGATCTAAGCCTGATGAGAGCAATTTGAACTGAGATTAGGCCTTCAGAAGAGGGCGTCTCCACTTGCTGTGAGACCTTGGGTATGCCATTAATCATTTTTGAACTTCAGTCCCCTCTTCTGCCCATGGAAGGAAGCTGGTTCAGGTCCTACTCTAAGGGTCCCCCAGCTCTGACTTCTATAAGGAAAAGAGGCCCAGCATGAGAGTTCTCAAGAAACCGAGGTCCCCCCATGCCCATGGAGGAAGAGGGTGCAGAGAGAGGCATCTTGGTTGGAGCTGCTCTGTGCCCTGCTCAGCATCTCTCTTCTCACAAAGACTGAGTGCCCACCTAGGGAGGGACAGGTCAAGGGCCGGAGCAGAGCCCTTCCTCCTCCTTCCTGCCTCCCAGCTCATACCTGCTGCCAAGGTTTCCCCTCTCTCCAGGCTCTCTGCTCCTACACACCCTCATTCTCCCTTCCCTTCCTTCCACTCTGTTCATCGTCCAGCCTCCTCCCCAACCCCTCAGGAATGCTGCTCAGAAAAGAAAGTTTGCTGTTTTCTTTTTAAAATAAATTTAGCAATTAAAATACAAGCTACTATTCACTACTTCCTTTGAGAATGTTTTATCTCTTCAGCAGATGTGCCACCTCCCTGAGGGCAGAAGCGTGTCTACACTTTATCCATCTGCATGGCCGGGTTCTAACAAGCCAAAGCCAAACATGATGAGTCCCCAGCCTTTGCCAGGCTGTTATTTCTTACTTCTCCAAATCCTAACTTCCCCCCAAGGCACACTGTAAAGCCTTATCTGTTGACAGGCTCAATCAATCCAACCAGGAGAAAACAAAGGCCCAACTCCATTGTTAGAGGCACCTGGTCTTTCTTGAAGAATATCCTACAAGACTAACCCATCCCAGCTTCCTCTCCCACTGTAGGTGAGTATGCACATATGTCTGGGAACAGAGGAATTCTCCCTGTCTAGCACACTCTGACAGTACCACATGATTTAGCTGAGTTACGTCATGAGAAGCAGCCTGCTGTCATGGAAGATGCTGGACCAGGAATCAGCACTCCTTGACTATGCGCCGACTAATCAATTAATAACAGTAGACTAGGGAGTCAATAATATCGGATCTGCTTCCCTGTGTTCTGAGAATCAAATAAGATACCCCATGAATGCCCATACATACAAAGGGGCTTTATGCTAAGTGACCTTTCCTTCTAGAAGGTTGTTTCATTTAAGGCAAAGCAGCATCCATCCTTCCTTGTACCTCCCACCCCTGTGCCTTGCAGACAAGGGACACACAGAAAATGCTTGTACATAGCTGAACATCAGGCCCAGACCCCACTGAGCCCCCGATCCCCGGCCTCGCTTCCCATTCCTCACCGGCTCTCCTCGCCCTCCAGCAGCTTGCGGTAGGTGGCGATCTCGATGTCCAGGGCCAGCTTGACGTTCATGAGCTCCTGGTAGTCGCGCAGCTGCCGCGCCATGTCCTGCTTGGCCTGCTGCAGGGCGGCCTCCAGCTCCTCCTGCTTGGCACGAGCATCCCCAATGGCCAGCTCCCCACGCTCCTCGGCCTCTGCGATGGTAGCCTCCAACTTGGCACGCTGCGGGCAGTGGTGGGACTGTGAGCTGGAGGACAGAGCTCACCAGCCACTGCTTTCCTGCCTACCCATCCAGCAGTGAGCACCTCGGTGACTTGCTTAAGGTGGATTCCTTGAACTGCTGACTCCCCCAAGCACCAGAGAATCCCAAGAGTTAAACACTTGTGGACTTGGCTCTCCAAAGCCCGGGTTCCCATCCTGGCTCTGCCACTCACTAGCTATCTGGTCTTGGAAGAATCAACCTTTCCAAGCCAAAGTTTCCCCTTCCCTGAAAGAGCAATATCACAGCATCTATCTCATAAGGATCCTAGAGGATAAAAAGAAATGAAACACAAGAACTCTTATCACAATGTCTAGCAAACTGCAAGTGCCTAATAAATGCTATTGTGAGGGCTGGGTAGGGTGACTTAGTGGTAGAACATCTCCTTAACATGTGCAAAGCCCTGGGTTTCATCCTCAGCACCACACACACACCAAAAAAAAAAAAAAAAAATGCTGCTACTATGATTGCTAGTATTAATAAATAATTAATAAACTAGAGGAGTTCCAAGGCCATGGATTTCTGGTTGAGTCTCCAAATGTCAGGCAATTGACAAGAACCAGAAACAACCTTCAAAATAAAAATCAGCTGGGAACAAGCCCAGAAGAGGGGAACTTGGGGCAGAGAGATCCTACTAATCATCCCATATACCATATCCACAGGTCATGGGTTTGGGTAGGGAGAGTTTGGTGCACCTGTGTCTGCCTTGAGCAACTGCCACTTGCTACCTGGCCTTAATGTTCCCCTGCTTTGGGCTCTTCCCCCACTGTTACAGTTTAGATCTTGATTGTCCCCCAAAGGCTCATGTGTTGAAGGCTTTGTCCCCAGCTAATGGTGCTATTCAGGAAGTGGTTAAACCTTTAGGAGGTGGGGCCTAGTGGAAGAAGTTTGGTTTGGGGGGCATGCCCTTGAAGAGGAGATGGGGACTCTTACCCCTTCAACTCTGCTTCCTGACTGCCATGAGATGGGCAGTTTTGCTCTACCACAAGCTTCCTGCCATAATGCTCTGCCTTGCCGTACGCCCAAACAACCATGCAACCATGGACTTAAGCCTCTGAAACTGAGCCAAAATAAAGCTTTCCTCCTTTAAGTTGATTTTCCTCAGGTATTTTGTCACAGTGACAGAAAGCTGATTAAAACAGCTATTACCAGAAGTCTGTTTAACCCCAGACATCTTGTTCAGCTCAGTGAGCTGCTACCCCCATTCCCTAGCTCAGGACTGACTCCTTCTTCTCACTTCTCATCAACCATCCCCTACCCTTGTGTTCTCTTCCCTCAGCTGAAGCCCCACTGCCCTGCTTCTCTGTCCCTGGACTACATCTCAGTGCCCTGTCTTGTCAGACTGGTGTCCCCTCAGCCACAGACCATACGCCCCTGCCTCTGGAGGCCCCTCCCAGATCCTCTCAAGGCCCCTTAGTGATGATAGATACTTGACTCTGAGCCCTGGTTCTGCCCTGTTGTATGGAGAAGAACTGGATGTGGTAGAGGATATAAGATTTGGGAAACTGCCATTCATTATTCTGTGCCTCCCCTCCTGGCCTGGAAACTGGCCCACTTCACGAGGTGATTCATGACCCAACATCTGTGCCAGGAGGCAGCCTCCACCCCTGTATAAACAGGCCTTCAGGGCTCTGAGGTGAGGACGTTTCTGTGTAACTCACCCTCACTTCCCATTCCCCAGCTCCTCCTGGAGATAAGCTTTCTGAAGATGTTGCACTTGCCCCCCCCACCCCCTTTCCCCCTTGAGACCTCTGCTCCAGCTGAGCTGCCCCACCACACCCACACCTCTACCAGGGATTGGGGACTCTTCCCTCATCAAGACCCCCAAACCTAGCTTCCAGTTTTCAGTCAGTCTCTTGTTGGAGATCTGTACCCCTATCGTGTGCCAGGTGCTGGAAGAAAGAGACAGAGAAGCGGGCAGATGGGGTCCCTGTATAAACCAGTGGGGATGGGGACAGTCGATAACTTAATAATAATTCAGAACATTTCAGAGTGACAGGTGCTTCAAAGAACTTCAGACAAGCTGCTGATATAGTGGCTAGGTGTTTGAGGAAGTCACCTCCAAGAAGGGGTCTTTTGTCCTAAACCCAAGGTTGCGAAAGAGACAGCCATTGACAGAGCTGGGAGAACCACATTCCAGGCAGAGAGAGGCCCAGTACAAAAGCCCTGCATCGTGAACACTCTTGGCAAATGCAAGACACAGGAAGCAGGCCAGTGTGGCCCAAGCAGAGTGAGTTGGGAAGCAAGGTCAGGGTGAGAAGGGACTTGTGAGCCTTGGTAATGAACTGTGAGTTCCCAGATGTTCATACTGCCCCAGAGCTGGGTGCAAGCAGAGCGCTCAGTACCAATGGGATAACTGATGGTGGCTCTTCGCTCACCAGCCCAGGCTTCTGTCCACTGGCTCTGTGGCCAGCCAGCACTCTTCCTGCTCTGGCCCCAAGCCAGCATCTGGCCAAGAGCATTCTATCCTGGAGGTCTCACCAGCAGCCCTGAGAAGTGAGCTGCAGAGCCTAGGCCCAGGGGAGACTGTCATCCTGTCATGACAGGAATGACAGTCTCCCCTCCACCTTTCTGCTCCTCACCCAGAACTTGGCCTCAGATGGCTGCCTCTCACATGCCCCAAGGAGCAGAGAGGAAGGAGGGATGAGAGCCCAGCCGCACCTGATTCTTAATGCTGTCGATCTCAGCCTGCAGCCTCTGGATGGCCCGGTTCATCTCCGCAATCTCGTTCCGGGTGTTCCGGAGGTCTTCCCCATGCTTTCCAGCCTGGGTCTGGAGAGTCTCAAACTGGAGGGGCCACAGATACAAATATTGCAGGGGTGGGCCATGATTACAGGTGATTGGTCTCTCTACCCAACCAAGGAGAGCCCCTCCCCACTTCTATTTCCAGGGAAGAACAATCAGAAACCCAACCATCTGCACTCAATGCCAGGAGGCCAGAGTATTGGGCAGTGGGGTGGGGAAGGGGTTCAGTCACCTCTTAGCAAGGACAGAGAAGGTTCCCAGGGCCCTTCCCTTTGACCTTGGGACTCTTCCCACTCCTACCCTGGCCTACTGCTGGACAATAACTGAAAGCCTAAGACATTATTCAACGTTCACCTCCAAGTACTACCCATTTCACAGATGCAGAGCCTGAGTCCCAGTGTAGGGGAGGAACTGTCTAGGAATCACACAGAAAATCGATGACAGCATGGAGGCCAGAACTCAAGTCCCCTTGTTGGCATCCCTAGGCTCTCACCCCTGCACCATGGATGACTCTTTACCACTGCAGAGACTTCCTCTATGCTGCTTTTTAAGACTTGCCTCGGGCTCTGGCCTCTAGTAGCACTAGCTTTCCCCCACATCACCTCCCATTCCTTCAGCCCCCACACCATCAGCTGCCCTGGCTCCATGAAGTATGTGTAAGGATGAAGCCTCCCAGATCAGGAGCCCTGGCATTCAGAATCTAGAGCCTGCTTTTCCATCTACTAGCTGTGTGGAGTTAGGCAACTTACTTAAACTCTCTGTGCCTCAGTTTTCTCATCTTTACAATAGTAATAATAATGGTACACACAATAGAGCTGTTCTATGGATTAAGTCAACAGAGGTAAAATACTGGAAATATCACCTAGCACTATGTAAGCATGCCATGCCTGTGTAAGTTCTGAAACTATGCCGAGCATTATGCACTTAACAAATTCTCATTATTAGTAATGCATGTCTACTTCCTCTGACAGGTCCCTGCATTGGGCTAGGATCTCCCTCAGAGCAGAGACCTGGCCCATGTCCTCTTCCCTGGACTCCAGAGAGCACCACAGATTTAACCACTGATGCCCTCCAAGACAGTGGGGCCCCCAGCCTTGAAGGCTCCAGATGAGGTGAGGAGGGCCCTGGCAGGAGGAGGAAAGACGCCCCCAGGGATGGCACACCTTGGTCTGGTACCAGGCTTCAGCCTCAGCCCGACTGTGCTTGGCCATCTCCTCATACTGGGCCTTCACTTCAGCGATGATGCTGTCCAGGTCCAGGGAGCGGCTGTTGTCCATGGACAGAACCACAGATGTGTCTGAGATCTGGGACTGCAGCTCTGCCAACTCCTGGAGGGACAAGACAGAATAGTGGACTTGAGGCAAGACACATCCCTATGCCCACACCTGCCCTGGGACTCCCCGCACAAGTGAAAGGGAAAAAAAAGGGAGGCTGGAGTGGGCCGTCCCACCCTGGCTCCTAGAGTCTCAAAGCAGATCTGGTGGAATCAAAGGAGGTAACAGGACAGTGTGGTGCTCGGTCCCCTCAGGGCACAGCACTAGTGGAGGATGGTGAAACAGATCCTATCACACTCCCATGGGATGCCCCACAGCCTTTAAAACTGGTGATGAGCTGTGTTTACAGACGGGGAAGGATGTCAGGAGTAGGCTGTCATGCGAAAAATATTTCTCTCTTTCTCCATGTGTATATATGCACCAAAAAGTCTGGAAATGTCAATACAAAGATGGTAATGTAACAGGGTGCATTTCATGATTTGGATATAAACTTTATATTGGGGGAGTTGTTCTTTTTTTGTTTTGTTATTTTCCTTTTTTCTCTTCTTTTTCTTCTTCCCCCCCTCCATAACAGCAGGGGAAGCAAGGTTAACCTTTTTCCCATCCTATGTCAAGTTATTATGTCCTTCGCTGACCACAAGAACAAAGAAAATTCAGACCTGGGAACCAGTGCCAGTGAGTCTGAGCAACATCTCACTCAAGGCCACCAGCTGGACATTCATTACATCCACCAACAATTATACATGCAGCCCAATTCTTGAGCCCCACCCCACCCCCGCCTTTAAAAGCCTTTATTTCTCCTTGTGAGGAGGACAGCAACCTTTTAGGACCTTAATCCACTGACTTCCCCATTGCTAGCATATCAATAAGTCTATTTTTTAAAAAATTTTTTCTCAAAAACCTTGTTTCTGGTATTTGAATCAGCACCGAGGACAAGCACCGGGTTTTTACAACAGGCAGAACTGATCTGTTCTCCATGTTATGCCTCACTTAATTTTCTGTTCTTCTTTGCAATGAGCATGTATTACTTTTGCAATAAGAAGAAACAATTACATATTAATATAAACACAGTGTACATGTGTACGTGCATATAGGTACAGATGGCATACATATATATAGTATGTGCCACGTGTAAGAAGACCTGCATGACAGGAGAATAAACTGGACATCACTTTCCTCTGTTCATATATGAATACACAACCAGCGAAACTCCACATCATGTTCAACCACGAAAATGGGAGGTTATACTCCAATGTGTATAATATGTCAAAATATACTTTACTCTCATGGATATCTAAAAAGAATTCAAAGAAAAAAGTGGGGAGGAGAGGGGGAGGGAGAAGGAAAGGAAGGAGGAGAGGAGGAAGAAAAAGGAGGAAGAGGAAAGAGGAAGAAGAAGGAGAAGAGGAGGAGGAGGAGGAGGAGGAAGGTAGAAGAGATGAGGAGGTTCACTGAACTTAGATTGCCTGAAGTAGCCTCAAGGACCTAGCCCCTGAAATGAACAAACATGTCGACATTTGAAGGCTGGATGTTCAGGCAAAGACTAGACTGAAGAGAACTGAGAACTTGGTCTGTTCTTAGCCCCACATGTTAATTATGCTCCTGCCCATCCTCTGTCCCTCTGCCTAAGGCCAGCAACTCACGCTGAGAGCAATGGAAATGTTTTTAAATTCCCACAAAGGTAAACAGCTGGAAGCCCAGGCAGGACATAGGTAAGAGAGAGAGAATGAGAAAATCACAGAAGGGTGGCTGGTGGTGGGCTGACGCCCACCTTGTCCCTCTGGGTATAAACTCTCAGACACTCGTTCCCTCCTCACCTGGGATCCCCAGCCTGTCCCATTCAATGCACCTGTGAACTGTGTCAGAGCCTGGCCTCCTCTGGCTCCTTTCAGTCCCACCCAGTCCCCCAACCTGACAAATTACCAAGGTCATCCCAAGTCTCTTAAGACCAGTCCTGATAGACCCTACCCCTTCTGCTACCAGCCCCCTCCTCCTACCCTAATGCATTATGGATTCCTGAGTCCAGAAAGAATAAAGAACAGGATGATACCATCACCCTCAACACACACCTAGTGGTCCACAGGCAGGTGCTGGACCAGATGGCTCCCTGCCTAGGGCACAGAAGGAGAAATGTCAGCCACCCAAGATTCTCACCGTCTCATTGAGGGTCCTGAGGAAGCTGATCTCATCATTCAGAGCATCCACCTTGGCCTCCAGCTCCACCTTGTTCATGTAGGCAGCATCCACATCCTGAGGGTAAAGGGACAGGGAAAAATGACACCATATCCATAGCAACAGAAACATTTAATAATGATAGGATCAACCTGTCCAACCCCCAGGGCCAACACCACTGGCCTAGTAAGAAACTCAGTTTTTCCAGGTCACTAACATGACTGGTGGGACACTCCCTCCCCAGGCCCTCCAGGCCTCTGGCTGGACATAGTCTCCACAGGGCCCCAGGACCAGAGCTGGCTTCCCAGCACTGGCAGCCCAGAGAAGCCTGAAGCCCCAGACCTAGCCCTTGACCAGTTCCTGATGTCTTTACGGTGTGGATGCCCCCTTGGCTCTGCCACCAACTCTGTGACCTGAAACAAAATCACTCCTACTCTGCAAGACTCCTTAATGCATGGGAGAGTTTATCATCTTTCAACTCCCAGGTGCCCTCCTACAGAAGGGACAGATCCAGCAGCCTGTGAAATGGCAGTGCGGTGGCTCTGAGGCAGGCAGGTCACACACAGGAGCCCAGGTCAGAGGGTGTCTGGGCTTCTCTACCTACACTTAAACTCCTGGGGGTAGGGCTCACTCTTCCTCACCCTGGGATCTCCAAAGGGCCCAGCACTCTGGGCATCTTGTATTCTGTGGATGGGCCTGGAATCACCAGCTGCTCAGTGAGTGTGTGCTGAAGCAGAATGTTAAGGGGCATGTAGCTCAAAGCCTTCACACGTGCTCCAAAGGCCTGCCAAGATCCTTTCTCACATCTCCAGGGATAGAGAACTCCTTGCCTCAAGACTACTCCTTGCATTCACTCGGCAAATATTTCAGGCTGGCCAGGTGCCACTACCCTTGCCTGGGACAAAACATTCAAGCTACAATAGAGCATTTTTCGAGGTTGCTTTTTTGAGGTTGAAACCTCCCTCCCTAACCTCCATCCTTTGGTCTTAGCTCTAACCCTGGAGGGCTAGAAGTAAGTCTTGTCACTCACCAGACACATACACACCCACAGGGCAGGCCGAGCTACTCTGGCCACTCTGGCTTGGCTTCTACTCCAGGCTGGATCTTGGCTACCGGTCCCCACCAGCCATTCAGGTAAGAGATCCCATGATCCCCTGTCCCTTGTGCTTACAGATGATCCCCCTCCAGCCTGTCCACCCGCTCACCTTCTTCAGCACCACAAACTCATTCTCAGCAGCCGTGCGACAGTTGATCTCCTCCTCATACCTACAGCAGGGGAGGGGGCACAGTGTCGGCACAGCTTTACCTCCAGTGCCCTCACACACAGGTGTGAAACCCACCCTATTCCCTTACCCTCTACTAATGACACACCTGGAAAAAAGCAGGTGTCTGAGCTACAAAATTGAATTCCCTGACTTCCACATGGCTATTCCCAGGGCTTTGAGTCTTGGTGTGGAGGGGGAGGGGCAGAAAATACATGTGAATTAAAGGACAATGACAGCATATAATAGCCATGCTTATGGACTGCAGGTGCTCTCTGCGCCCTAACTCATTCCACCCTCCCAACAGTCCTAGAAGGATGGTACTGTGGTTTTCAGAGAAGAGAATGAAGACACAGAGAGGCAGGTACTGAGCTACTTAGTGGCAAACCCCAGATGTGAGCCCTGGAGGCTCCATAGCCCAGGCCTTAACCACTGGTTCAGCCCACCCTGAGAAGAGAAGAAGGGTCTGAAGGGAGGAAGCTATATAGAGTCCTCAGCCCCCATTCTACTCCCACAGCAGCCCTCCAATCCCTCCTCCTCTCAAGGAGCAGCCCTTTGCCCTTAGGAGAATCTCTACAAATAGGACCTAACCCAGAAGTTATTTGGGGACTCAAAAAAAGGTCTAGAAACAAGAGCTCAGCAGCACCCAACAGTGGCTGGGACAGGCAAGGATAGCCCGAAGCAGCTTTGATGGGAAACAAAACCTCTGGGCTAGTCCAGCCCCTCCAGGAGGCTCAGGGGATCCACAGTCCCAAGTTGTACTTAAGTTCTATAAAAGCTATGGAAATCTCTGCCGGGCCCTCTGTCCACCGGGCCTTGGTGCTGCACTGCTGGGCCTGGAGGGGTGCAGACTGAGGGTCGGGGAGCAGTGGTACTCAGGGGCCCTTCCCTGCACCTTTGGAGCCCAGGTCAGCCCCATAGGAAGGTGACCTGAGGGCTTTGTAGTAGGGGGAGATGGGTGTGCAGGGACTGGTTACCATGCCCTCCCAGCCCAGCCTGGTGTGATTCCACCTGCTGTGGGATTCATCTGTTGACTTTTGCCCCAGGGAAGTAGCAGGTGGGGGACCCTCTGCAGAGCCTTGTTTGCTCTCCTCCAACCAAAGCCAAGATACCTGCTCCTGCTTAGTCACAGGACCACAGGAGAGCACACAACTCACCGCCCCCAGTGCCCACTGGCAGGTGTGCCAGGGTAGGGCTGGGGGTGGGGCTGGGGCCCCACCCAAGCCTCAGGCATTGGTTTATGTTCAAGGAGAAAGAAGGGCTCAGTGAGCATTTAAAGACCTCCAAACCTTCCTGCCCTCCCCTTCTAGCCTCCTTCCTGGCTCTGCCCTGACCAAACTGCCTCAGCCCCTGAACCCCACTCATCGTTCAGGATGATCATCCTCCCTCCTTGCTTCTTTACTTCCCACCCTTTGTCCTCTTCTGGGAGTCAGGGACCCAAAATTCAAGTCCCAAATCCCAGTGACCTACTCTGTGATCTTAACCAAGTCCTTGAACTTCTCAGGTTTCCAAATTCCCTACCTGCATAAAAGGGAACTGTTCTAGAATGACCTGTGAGTATCATGCAAGTTTGAAGCACCCCACTCCTAGGATACCTTTTCTGCTCTCCCTTGGGAACTTCGTCAAGCACCCGACCATGCAGGGAAGGGTAGACTGAGCTATTTCCCCCAGACTGAGTCAAGAGAAAAGACTAGAACATCCAACAGCTCCAGAGGCTGGGGAGGGAGGAAGTGGGAGAGAAGAAGCAGGGAATGTGTTAGTAAAGACCCGGTCCTTCAGGGAATATCATACTAAGCAGCTGCACACTCTGACCCCTGAACCAGAGGGATATGCAGAGGCTCAGGGACCCAGAAGCAGGTGACACCAGCAGCATTACTTATTCTTGAAGTCTTCTACCACATCCTGCATGCTCCGCAGCTCCACCTCCAGGCGGCCTCCATCCATCTGTAGTGCCTCCAGCTGCCCCCGAAGGCCAGCAATCTGGGTCTCAAAGAGGCCAGAGAGGTGGCTGCTCTTAGCTGATTTTGATTCCTGCAGCAGCACCCACTTGGTCTCCAGCATCTTGTTCTGCTGCTCTAGGAAGCGCACCTGAAAGAATCGTGGAAGAGGAGACTCTCAAGGGGCTGACCAGGCCACCACAGCATGGTTGAAGAGAGTTTCAAGTCACCCAACAGAGCCCATGTTCCCACCAACAGGGACCCTGGCACTGGTTAGGGGACCAGTGATGGGAACATGGGCTCTGTTGGGTGACTTGGCCCTCTCCTCTAAGATTCTCAAGTGTCTTCAAGTGTGAGCCAGGTGAGTGCCTCACTGATGTCTCAGAGTCTCTGCTTTCCTTTACTCCCTTTGCATTCTCTACCTCCTGCCTCTGAAGGGCCCGCTTCCTGTATGTGGGGCCTGGGGATGACCAAGCCACTCCTCCCTTCAGGCTGGGACCTCTCAGCTATGTCAGTATCCTGTCTCCTCCAGCAAGGCCTTGGGCAGGGGCCTATAATCAATCCAATGTGAAAGGAGCACCTCCCATATGCCAGCCCTGGGGCCCAAAACGTCCTTAAGAAGCACTTAACATGCCTAGGGAGAGGGGGCAGGAAAGGCCTCCTCCAAATCAGCCACTGGGGGCACCAGGACCTGAATGTTCACCATAAGACAGTGCTGCTCAATAGCAAGGAGGGAACCTGGGCCTGGGAGGCTTCAGTAGAACTTGAAGGATATGTAGGTCCAAAAGGTAAAGGCAAGGAGGACATGGGGGTGGAGGAGCCTGGAAGTACACAAAGGCAAGGGAGGGCACACTTAGTCTACGCCCAAGGGAGGGGGTCTTGCCGGGAGGGTCTAGCAGGGCCACAGCACTTGGTTCCTAGGTCCAGCTTCACTTGAAGCCCCCTTCTCTCGGACCCTCCAGTGGTCCGCCCTCCCACCCACAGAAGCTCATGTGTGTGGCAACAATAGACAACCAGGAAAAACATCTCCCAAATATCTCCTTCCCAGGGTCCCTCAGTGCCACTTCTTGTCCCCAACTGGGCTATCTCCAAAGGCAGGTGTAACCTCACCTCCTACCACCAGGACCAGGCAGGTGGGTGGGGCCAGGAGCCTTCCTCCCTCCAGGCCTTTATTTCCAACATCTGAAGGAGCCAGTGTCTCCTCAGCTGGAAAGGGAGTGTCGCCCCCGCCCCACGCGTGATGCTACACAGCTTCCCTTTGCTTCCAAAGGGACCTAGAGAGCAAAGAACTCCTGGCCTTGTCTTCTGTATCTCCTAATCTGATGTCTGACAAAGCTGGCCCAAGAGCCCCATAGAACTGGAGATAACAGCCTTCCAGGCCATCCGGACAGAACCTGGGGACACATTCCTGCAGGTAAGGGAGAGGCTTGGAGACTCTTGATGTAAGAGAGAGAGGGCTTGGAGACTAACAACAACAGAGTTCAAGGGGTCGGAAAAAGCCACCGAGCTAGTCTCCAGACATTGGTGGACAGAGAGAAGGACGCCAGCTTCCCAGCGCCGGCCTGCACGTGGGCAGGGTTGGTTAGGGTGGCTGGTGAGGCTGGCAGTGCGGCTCTGGGCAGGGTCCTGTCGGGCTCACCTTGTCAATGAAGGAAGCGAACTTGTCGTTGAGGGTCTTGATCTGCTCTCGCTCCTCCTGGCGCACCTGCTGGATGGAGGGGTCGATGTCCACCCGCAGAGGGGCCAGCAGGCTCTGATTGATGGTGACTTCGCGAATGCCGGCGCCCACTGGACCCCCATAGGCGGAGCGCACCGCCATCCGCGGCCGCGAGGCGCTCAAGCCATAGAAGCTGCTGCTGCCGAGGCTGCCCGGGCGACCCGAGCTCAGGCGCACCTGGCCTCCGCGGCCAGGGAGGGCGGCCGAGCGCGAGCTGAACACCTGTGAGCTGAAGTGGACGGACATAGTGGCCGGACCCCGCTGGACCTTGCGGCGAACGAGGAGGTGCGCGAACTCGCTGACCTCGAGCACACTGTGTCCCTTTTATGGTTTGGCACGGGTGGCTGGGCTTTCCCAGGTAGGGGCGGGGCGGGGCAGGGCTGGCCGCCAGGCACCTTTCTCCGCCGCCGCCAGGCCCCTCCGCCAACTTCCGCCCTCCGCACCGCCCACCCCAAGGCGGCCGGGCTCTGGATCCAAGCAGGATTGACCTGCAGTAAGCAGAAACGCCATCCGAGGACACCCCTACCTTCTGCAGGTGGCCACAGAGAACAGTAGGGAACAGCAGGCAGAGCCCTCTCTTGACTTCACAGAGACCACCTACAGCTTATCAGGGAAGGTTTCCGCAAGGGGTAAGAGCATCCAGATTCCTGAGGCCAGCAGAGACACCAGGTGGTAATGGACTAGGGAAGAGGTGGACAAAAATGCTCCAGCTCAGAAGTCAGAGTCCAAAACCCCCTACCACAAGCCAGAAAGGCATTCCCTGTCACGCCCTCCCCCTAAATCCAGCTGCTCCTGGAAAGATCAGCTCAAGTCTTGCATAATCTGACCCCAGGATGGGCCTGACCTAGCTGGTTTCCTTAGCTGCATCCAAGATGACACATCACATTTCCAGATAGAAACTAGATGGATCCACTTCTGGCCCCTCTCCTTCCCAATGGGCATTTGCAGCCCAGAGGCCCATCTCCTCCACCCCCTACTCACATTTCCCCAGTGTTCCACACATATTTTATCTGTGGATGGTTGTGTATATCTCTGACACTTTGTGGCTATGTGTGCACTTCTAGGTGCCCACATCCCTGAATATATACATCTGTGAGTGTATTTATACAAGTGGGAGTCTGTGTGTGCATGGAGGGTCTGCATACACCGTTGCACATATTTGTACACACATCTGGGTGCAGATGCTTCTATTCACACTCAAATACTCCTTCCCATCCCCACCCCAATTTTCCTGTTATAAGCCCTGGACCTCCCATGTCTCCTCACCTAAAGTCACCACCAGACAATTTCCAGTAGTTTCAGCCTGGTGGAGAGAGCTGCAAGCACTGTGCTGGAAGAGGAAATCTCCGGTCCCAGTCAGTTGCTCATCCCCCCCCCCCAGGACCCTCCTCCATCTTTCCCAGACACCTCACTCACTCCCTGTCATACCCCCCTGCTTGGCTTTTACTCCACCTCTAGCCCCACCCAATGAGCTGGCCAGGCTGTCACCTCTGGCCAAGCTCTTGAGGCTCTTGGATGGAGGAGGGTGGGAACGGAATGTCCTTCCTGGTTTTCCATTTCAGTTAGAAACCCTAGGCATGCAAAAGAGACCAACTATTTAATACACGCATACACACTCCAACTTCCTTACCCTAAGGGCTCATCCTCAACCCCAAATCCTGGCCTCTCTCACCCCTCCCCACCTCTCTCACCTCTCTGTCGCATGGGTCCCTCCCTGCCTCCTAGAACCTGGCTGAGAAGACTTGATAGGGTTCTTCTGGTGCACTGTGACCCTAGACAAGTCACTGACCTTCCCTGGCCGACAGTTCCTTCACCAAATCCTTGGGTTCCACACCTAATGGGAACTGTGAGAGGGTTCTACAAAGGAGAAGAGGTGTCTGGGCTCTTCAGGCCTGAGCTCCTCTCCACGCTGCAGCAACACTTCCCCATTCCAGGGCCTGCCCCTCACCCACCCTGGGGCTCTCGTCCCTTCTGGAAGCATTCCTGCAGGCTCTAGCCCTCGCCAGATTGCTACATTCCCAGCCAGTTCCGGGAGCCCACTCAGTGCCAGGCAGCGCTGAACACTGCAGCCTCTGGAGGGCTTCTTGAGAAGCTGCCAGTACCACAAGGCCTCAGATTAAATTCCTGCCCCGCAGGGGTTCGCAGTCTAGTTCGCACCCAAACTCAGGCTCCGCGTGTGCGCATGCGCACACCCCAAATGCCTTTGTCTGCCGGCCTCGAAGAGACCACCTTTCAAGATCCTGGACAGTATTTTGATAAATTAATCCCACAAAGCCAGTAGTCCTCTGCCCACCCAAAGGCATTCTCTCTCTCCCCCTCCCTCCCCCGCACAGACACCAAGCCAGGCACACACTTGCTATCCTCCCACCCTCCTTCTTCTGTCCCGCTGCACCCTCTGGAACCAGCTGTGAACAGCAGCACCAGGTTCTCAGCCCTGCCCAGCTCCACTAAACCTGACCTAGACACCAGGGCCACTGCAGCCCAGGCTCCAAGTGGAACTTCTTGTTCTGCTCTCATTGGGAGCGGTTCTTTCTGGCTTCCTCCTGTTCAGAACTATTACTCACTGTCCAGTCCCTAAAAAAATATATCTTCTCATTCTTCAGGGAAAAAAAAAGAATAATTTTTTTTTCATTATCTTGGAATGTGAATGTATATAATCGTAATAAAAGCCATTTAACTTCCTTCGTGGAATATAATACTTTAAAAGAAAAAAGTCAAATGATAAAGGACAAGGAAGCAACACCTGTGACAGGCAGCAGGCTACTTTCCTGAAAACATAAATCAATAAGAAAAAGATAAACAACCCAAAAGAAAAGAGCAACAGATGTGAATCCTAGGAGTTACAGCTTACATGCCATACATGTGCCTCCTACACATGTGCCTGGTCCTGTCTTACTGAGCCATTTAGTTCTCACAATAACCCTATGATGCAGGTATGTAGTATTATTATCCTGGTTTTAAGAAACTGGGGTACAAAGAACTTAATTACCCAAGCTCACACAAGTAGGATGTAGAAAAGCTAAGATTTGATTGGACCTTGGTAGTTGGAATCACCAGATTACTTGGGGGGAAAAAATAAAAGCAGAAAATGGGCTGGGGGTATAGCTCAGAAGTAGAGTCCTTACCAGGCAGGTTCAAAGCCCTGCGTTCCATCCCCAGCATTAAAAAAAAAAAAAAAAGGAAATCAATAAGCAAATACGAAACAAAAAAGTTCAATTTCACTCAAAGATATACAACAAGAATAGAAACAAAAAGCCATTTTTCTTTGCCTGTCAAATTATCAAAGACTGAAATATTTAATGACAGCTTTCCGCTTGGTGGCTGTATGCTTAATAGAAAGCCTTGTCCTTTGTTGGAAGATTACGGATTGGTACATACTCTTTGGAGGACAAGTTGACAAAAGGTCTCAAATTTACAAAGACATTAGCCCTTACATGAATAAGTAAAGCAAATAAAAATGAATGTACTAGTCTTTTCAACAAGTAGTTCCACTGCCAGGTTCTTATCCTGCAGATGTTCACAACAAATTCGTATATATATACACATGCTCTCTGCTGCTATTTTATATTCTTGTAAAACTGGGAACTTTTATGTCTGTCTATAGGAAATTGAATAAATGAATTGAGCTACATCATGTATTCAACAATTATTTATTGAAATGAATAAATTCTTTTTATATACTGATAGAGGGGGTTTTGTTGTGGTTTTTGTGTGTGTATACGTGTGTGTGTGTGTGTTTGTCTGAATGAACTCAGAAGTCCTTAACCACTGAGCCACATTCCCAGCCCTTTTTTTATATTTTATTTACAGACAGGGTCTTGTTGAGTTGCTTAGGGCCTCACTAAGTTGCTAAGGCTGGCTTCGAACTCTCAGTCCTCCTGCATCAGCCTCGTGAGCCACTGGGATTACAGGCATGCACCATCACACCCAGCTGAGTTTTTAACTTTTACATATTGATTATAAAATCTGTAATTTTAAAAATTCCTACTAGGCTCAGGCAGGCCAGCTAAACTATGCCTCCCTCCACTGTGACTGATCCCTGCTGGCTCACAGCCATCTCCTGACCTCATGTTCACTCAGGACCCTGGCACCTGAGTCCTGCCACTCCCCTCCACCCCAGGCACCCTCATTCTCCACACAGACCCACCCACATCTCACTCTCAGGGTTCCTTGAGGCACTCAATTCCAGTAAGTTTCATTTTCTCCCTTCTTCTCCTGACTGCCTATAGTCAACACTCTAGATCCTAAACAGCGCCATCTCTGAATTCTTAAGCTGCAGGACCATTCCAAAGTCTCTCCGTGTCAGCAGATGGGCTCATTTACAACACCAGCACCTCAGCCCTGAGCCTGGTTGTTCATTTCCTCCCTACCCCCCACCCTCTTCCTTGCAACTTGGACACTTTGATTATGACCTCACTCTCTGACCCCTTATCTGCAGTCTCCTCCACCTAGATAAACCTCCAGCCCTCTTCAGCCCGAACACTGAACTTCCCTCCTGCAGCTCTAAACTGTGGATTGCCCAGGAAAGAAAACTTCATCAGTGTCACCACAACACACATTCTACAACTCAGCCATGGCCTCTTTGCTACTGGGCATCCATCTCTGCCTTTGGTTGGCAGCCTCTCCCAGGCCTCCCGATTGCTACTGCAAAACCTCTGGACCTTCATTGTACCCCCCGGATACCCCCATACTCTTCCCCCCTCAACAAAGAATCACTGCATTCTTCTGCACTGAGAACATTAAGTTGAGCTGATAAAAACTTTGCCTTCCTGCCCACACCCAAACTGACCCCTCCATTCCACCTCTCTCCCTCTCTCCAGACTGCGGCACACCATCCTTCCACCTGTGTCCTGGACACCTGCTTCTCTCACCTCCTAAGGTATTCTGCTCTTTCGGTTACCTTCCTTCCTAATGCTGTCAAACCCTCCTTTTCTGGCTCCCTCTCCCTTCTCACAGCCAAGCTTCCTGACAGAGTTATCATCCTGCACTTTAGTTGAAGCTGTGGGGGAAGAAGTCAGATGTCAGCAGGCCCCAGTTTCAATGGGATACAGAAGTGGAAACTTGAAGTGCTGAGCACCATTTCCAAAAATGTTTGGCAGGAAGGGAAAGTGAGACGGGAAGTTAGCTTGAACAGAAAGCCAGCTTAAGTAAAGAATGATTATGACCAGTGAGACCTGAGTAAGTGGGGGTGACAGAGGGGAGGCAAAGACATGCTAAAATCTCTCATAAATATAAGAGATTAAAGCTAATTAATGGAGCAAGGTCCAGAGGGCTGGGTCTGAGTCCAGGTGGGGCCAGTTATGGTGCCCAGAAGAAA